GGACTCGAACCATGGTTAGCCATGTGGGAGTGTCCAGCACCTTAACCACCACACCACCTGCTGGTCCCAAAGAATTATTTTATTTAATTTTATTTATTTATTTATTTTTGAAATGTGACCAGAGAGGGACAGATCGAGAGAGAGAGAAAGTGAGAAAGCAAGCTGCCAGGTCCAGGACTTGATCTGTAGTCAGCCATGTGGGAGTCCAGTGCCCTTAACCACCACTCCACCTGCTGGCCGCCCAGGATTTTTTTTTAAAGGATGTGTGTGCTTGCCAAAGGGAAACAGAGAGAGAAAGTGAGAAATGACCCTCCAGGGGGATGGCTACGCCAAAATTCCTTCTCCATTCTCCTTGCAGGATTTGGAACATTTATGTACGTGTGCCTGGCATGTTTTCAAGCTACTGGGTCTGAGACCCAAACCACACAGCTGGGCACGTGGGATCCAGCTGTCTTTACCTCCATGCCACCTTCTGGTACCAGGAGTTCTTTTCTTTTTCTTTTCTTTTCTTTTTTTTTTGAGAGATTTTTGCTATAGGGCGCATGCGCTTGCCAGAGAGAGAAAGAGAGAGAGACAGAAAACGAGTAATCCCCCCCAGGGGGATGGCCACGATGCAATCTCTTCTCCTTTATTCTCCTCTCAGGATCTTGGGCATGCACGCACATGTGTCTGGCGTGAGTTTAAGCCGCCGGTTCTGGGACTCGAACCACAGTCGACTACGTGGGAGTCCAGTGACGTAGCCATTACGCCAACTGCTGGTCCCCCAGGAGTTCTTTTAAAAGAAAAATTACCTTACTCCATTTGTTATTATTATTTTTTACTTTGACCAGAGAGAGAGAGGGAGAGAAAGAGAAACCAAGAAAACAAACTGCCTGATCTGGGACTCGAATCATGGTGAGCCATAAGGGAATCCAGTACCTTCTTTTTTTTTTTGGAGAGATTTTTGCTATAGGGCGTGTGCGCTTGCCAGACAGACAGAGACATTAGAGACAGAAAGCAAGAAATCACCCCCTGGGTGGATGGTCACGCCGTAATTCCTTCTCCTCCATTCTCCTCTCGGGATCTTGGGCATGCACGCACATGCGCCTGGCGTGAGTTTTAAGCCATTGGGTCTGGGACGCGAACCACAGTCGACTACGTGGGAGTCCATCGACATAGCCATTACGCTAACTGCTGGTTCCCAGGAATCCAGTACGTTTAACCACCATGCCACCTGGCCCCAACTGGCCATTGGGAGTCCAATGTCCTTAACCACCACACCACCTGCCGCCCACCAGGAGTTCTTAATCTGAGGTTTCAGGAGTTCCTTGACTCACTGAAGTTTTATGTAATATTTTATGTGCATATTTACAGTTGTCACTCTTACCTGTATTTTCACTTCCAGTTAGCTGTAGTCAACAAGGGAACTTTGTGGAACAGTGGAATTAAAGTACAATTTAATTTTAGTGCAAAAAATGTTTGAAATCCATGGGTTTTTTTTTTGGGAGGGGGTGGAAGGAGAGGTTTTTGCTATAGGGTGCGTGCGCTCACCAGAAAGACAGAGACAGAGAAACAGAAAGTGAGAAATCATCTCCCAGCAGGGATGGCCATGTGCAATCCCTTCTCCATTCTCCTCTCGGGATCTTGGGCACACATGCACATGTGCCTGGCGTGAATTTAAGCCAACTGCTGGTCCTCATGTCTATTTTTTTTTTAAATTATTTTATTTAACTTTATCCATTTATATTTCAATTTGACTAGGGAGAGAGAGAGAGAGAGAAAGTAAGCTACCAGCTCTGGGACTCAAACCTCAGTCGGCCATGTGGGAATCCAGCACCTTTAACCACCATGCCACCTGCTGGCCCCGAAATCCTTGTATTTTTTATAATATTCACTTTCCATGAACTTTTGGAAGACTCCCTCCTGTGAGTACAGTACAGTGAGATATTTTGAAAGAGAGAGACCACTTTGATATGACTTTTATTATAGTTTCTTTTTATAATTATTCTATTTTATCATTAGTTATTGGTCTCTTACTGTATCTTATTTATTTGTTTATTAGTTTGCTGTAGGGCATGTACACTTGCTGGAGAAAGAAGAGAGAGACCTCCAGAGAGAAGGAAAGTGAGAAATCACTTCTCAGGGTGGATGGCCACACCATAGTCCCTTCTCTTCTATTCTCTTGGAATTTAAGGCATGCTCACAAACAGGCCTGGTATGTTTTTCAAGCCACCAGGTCTGGGACTCGAACCACATAGTTGGCCATGTTAACCCTGTGTCACCTGGCATGCCCTCCATGAGCTATCCTAAGTGCTTTATTATATAATTGAGCATTCCTAATCTGAAAAATCTGAAATCCAGAATGCCCCAAAATCTGAAATTTTTTGAGAGCTGACATGTCACAAGTGGAAAATTCCACACCTAACCTCATGCCAAATCACAATCAAAACGCTGTGCTGTAAAAATACTGTATACTGGGCCAGCAGGTGGTGTGGTGGTAAAGGTGCTGAACTCCCACTGGCCAACCACAGTTTGAGTCCTAAACCTGGTGGCTTGCTTTCTTGCTTTCCCTTTCTCTCTCTGGTCAAGTTTAAAATATTTGGGGCCAGCAGATGGTGTAGCAGTTATGTCACTGGACTCCCATATGGCCAGCTGGAGTTCAAGTCCCAGACCCAGTGTCTTAAAATGACAACAGGTACGTGTGTGCGTGTGCCCGAGATCCCAGTAAGAGAATGGAGAAGAAGGGGTTGCGGTGTGGCCATCCCCCTTGTGGGTTGATTTCTCACTTTCCCTCTCACTGTCTCTGTTTCTCTCTCTAGTGAGCTCACGCTCTGAGGTGAAAACCTCTAAAAATAATAATATTAACAAATGGAATTAAGTAAATAAATCTTTAAAAAATTACAATTGTATACATTTACTTTCAGGCTATGCGTATAAGGTATATACAAAGCATAAATGAATTTTGTGTTTAGTCTTGGGCCTTACCTATAAGATAGCTCATTGTATATACAGATATTCTCCCCCACAAAATTTTTTTTTGAGACCTGAAACACAAGCATTTCAGATGAGGAATATCCAACCTATACTAATTAACATGGTCCTCACAACATCCCTATGAGATAGGTGCTCTTATTATTCCTATTCTATAGATGGGAAAACTGAACCACTGGAAAGTTAACTAACTTGCCTAAGCTCTCACACCTAGTAAGTAGTGGATGGGGATTTTAATGAATTTAAGATATGAAACAATTGGATATTATCATATTAATTGTTGTAGTTATTTATTTATTTTCAAATCATTATATATTTTTAAAACATTTATCGTTATTTAAAAAAAAAAAATGACCAGAGAGAGAGAAACAGGGAGAGAGAGGGAAAGTGAGAAATAAAACTGCCAGGTTCAGGACTTGAACCATGATCAGCTATGTGGGAGTCCAGCACCTTATCACCATGCCACCTGCCACCCCTAACTATTGTAATTATTAAGACTAATTACTAAAATTGTTAAACTATAATGTAAGTGTTAAAATGAATTTTAAATAAAAGAAACTTTTACCAATTTTATGTTTCAAACTCAAGACCTATTTTTTATTTTAGAATATTACCTTTCAGTCTTGGTCTGAAGTATAATTTTTAAAAAGAGGGTGACTGGGGCCGGCAGGTGGCTTGGTGATTAAGGTGCTGGGTTCCCACATTGCTGACTGTGGTTCATGTCCTGGACCTAGCAACTTGCTTTATCATTTTCCCCTCTCTTTCTCCTCTGTCTCTCTCTAGTCAGATTAAAAAATAATAATAATGATGAACAAAATGAGATAATCCTTTTTTTCTTTTCTTTTCTTTTCTTTTTTTTGAGAGGTTTTTGGTATACAGCATGTACGCTCGCCAGAAAGACAGAGACAGAGAGAGACAGAGACATGGAAAGTGAGAAATCACTCCCCAGGAGGGATGACCATGCCCCAATCCCTTCTCCTCCATTCTCCTCTCGGGATCTTGGGCACGCTCGCACTCATGTCTGGCGTGAGTTTAAGCCACCAGGTCCAGGAATCAAACTGCGGTCAGCCACATGGGAGTCTAGCAACATAGCCATTAGACCAACTGCTGGTCCCGAGATAATTCTTTTTAAAAAAAGAGGATGGCTAATGAGGACAACAGGTGGCATGTTGGTCAAGGTGCTAAATCTTACATAGCCAATTCCATGGTTTAAGTCCTGGACCCAGCAGTTTGAAAAACTTTCCAGTATGTGTGCGTGTGGGTCAAAATTCCTGAAAGAAGGGACCAGCAGTTAGTGTAATGACTATGTCGCTGGACTCCCATGTAGTCAACTGCAGTTCGTGTCCCGGACCCGGTGGCTTAAAACTCATGCCTGGCGCGTGTGCGTGCGTGCCCAAGATCCTGAGAGGAGAATGGAGGAGAAGGGAATGTGGCGTGGCCATCCCCCCTGGGGGGTGATTTCTCGCTTTCTGTCTTTCTGTCTGTCTCTGTCTGTCTGGCGAGTGCACGCGCCCTATAGTGAAAACCTCTCAAAAAAAAAAAAAAAGAAAGAGAAGGGATAGTGGTGTGAGTGTTCCCCCTGGGGGGTGATTTCTCACGTTACCTTTCTCTCTGTTTCTCTTTGGCTAGCACATGCACGCTATGGCAAAACTAAAGAGGATGACTAAAACAATAATAAAAAGAGGATTAGAGTTTCAGTTGTCATTTTTTTCCCTTAAACTTTTGCCATAGAATGTAAAAGCTCACTGGAGAGATACAGAGACAGAGAAAAAGAGAGGGAAAGTGAGAAATCACTCCCCGGGCGGATGGCCATGTTGCAATCCCTTCTCCTCTATTCTCCTCTCGGTATTTTAGGCATGCGTGCACACTCAGTGTGTTTTTCAAGCTGCCTGGTCCAGGGCTTGAACCATGTAGTTGACCATGTGGGATCCAGACATCTTAACCATGGCACCACCAGCTGGCCCAGCTATTCCTCTTTTAATTTCCAGACTTTGCACATATTAAGACTTCAACTCTATTTTAGAGCGCAGAGTTATGGAGAAGTTGAATGTCAGCTGTGTAAGGAGGTTGAGAAAGATGCATTGTGAGACTACAGACCCAGTACTGTGCTACAATAGTTTCAAGACTTCTCCCTAGCAAAATTCTTTCTCTCATTTCTGCAGACGCTGTGTGCACTCATTCGAGGTGTCCATCAAAAGAATAAATCTACCTCTGGGTTCGACATTATCAACATGCTGATGGGCTTTGACAAAGCGGAGCTGTGCATGAAGGTGAGGCAGCTGCAGATGTGCCTGTGGATGGTGCTTCTGAGCCGACTTGTACTCCACTTGCAGCCGGCTGTGCAGGGCAATGTGGACCAAGTTAGACACAGATAATTAAGTTTGGCCTGGAATCTTTATTTATTTATTTTTAAAGTTTGTTACAGGGCACATATTCTCGTCAGAAACAGAGACAGATAGGGAAAGTGAGAAATCACCCCAGGAGGTATAGCCACAACACAGCCCGTGTCCTCCATTCTCCCTTCGGGATTTTGAGCATGTGCATACATGGTGTGTTTGCAAGCCACCAGTGTAGGACTGGAACCACAAAGTTGGCCATGTGGGTTCCAGCCACCTCAATCACCACACCACCGGCTAGCCCCTAGTGCCTTAACCACCATGCCACCTACTGGCCCAGCTTCCTTTTTTTTTTAAAGAGAGATTTTTGCTGTAGGCTGTGTGCGCTTACCAAAGAGACAGAGAGAAAGCGAGAAATCACCCCACAGGGGGATGGCCATGCCGCAATCCCTTCTCCATCGTCCTCTCAGGATTTTAGGAGCACACGCACACACGCCTGGAGTGAGTTTTAAGGCACTGGGTTCGGGAACTGAACCATGTCGACTACGTGGGAGTCCAGCAACGTAAGCACTATGCCATCTGCTGGCCCTGACATTGTCTTTTTTTTATAATAGTTTTATTGATCTATAATTCATATATCATTCAGTTCACTTTTTAGGTTTTTGCTATAGGGTATGTGTGCTCACCAGAGTCAGAGAGCAGGAAAGTGAGAAATCACAACCCCCCAGTGGGGATGGGTGTGCTGCAATCTCCTCTCCATTCTTCTTTCTGGATTTTGGGCATGTGCTCACATGTGCCCTATGTGATTTTCTTTTTTCTTTTTTTAATTGTTCTGTGCAATTCTTATGCTTATTTTACTAATCTTTAACTTCTTTTTTTAAAATAATTATTTATTTTATTCTGTTTATTCATTCATTTATTTGTTAATTTGACCAGAGAGAGACAGAGGTTAAGGGTGAGAGAGAGAGGAAGTGAGAAAGCAAGCCACCAGATTCAGGACTCGAACCCTGGTCGGCCATGTGGGAGTGTCCAGCGCCTTAATCACCACGCCACCTGCTGGTCCCGCCCTATGTGATTTTCAAACCACTGGGTTTTGGACTCAAAACTGTGGTTGCCTATGTAGGCGTCTAGTGCTTAACCAACACGTCACCTCATTATTTAACACAATGACTTTGGTTTTACCATAAATAAAAAATAAAATTTAGCTTTATTTATTTATTTTTATTCATTTGTTTATTTCAGTTTGACCAGAGAAGGACAGAGAGAGAAAGAAAGCAAGCCACCAGGTCTAGGACTTGAACCGTGGTCAGCTCTGTGGGAATCCAGTACCTTTAACCGCCACAC